ATTAGCCAAAAACTGAGCAGGTCAATTCACAAATTTTGTAAAACTTTATAGAGCCATAAAATAAAAATGCGAGCTAATATCGCAAAACAAAGCTAGGCTTTTTCTTATCTTAATGTATACTTTCGAATGTGCTATGCAAAATTGCGTCCATTTTTAAAAGCCCCCAAATTGTTGCACTGTGTTATGGCTAGTATATTCTTTTTATAAGGTATATTTACCCACCTTTAAATTTATTAGACAGCTAACTGTTAAAGTTACAATTGTTGACATAATTGTAACTATGACAATTAAGCATTAGGTAAGTGAATATTCTGACACTTAATTTCTATTTGTCGCAAAATCCGTTAAACGTTATTTAAAAACGTATGCATGAAAATTAAAACATTTCTTATCGGACGATTTTATTGAAAAACTGACATACGGACAAACGGATACATAAAAATTAAGCTTTATGGGTATATCAGAGATCCACCCACAGATCCACCAAAACACGCCAGACCGAAACTGGCCCGACCGAAAATTTACATTTCATTTAAGAAAAATGTGAACCAAACCTTATTAATTTGATGTTTGAAGTGCCGCACTTCAAGTGCGACAAATTTTAGACCTAACCAGTGTTGCCAGAAATGCAGAATTTTCTTCAATGTGCAGAATTTTAGCCTACATCGAGAGCTAATGAAGAAAAGAAGAATATTTTACAAAAACCACTACAATACCCAGCTAGCACAAGTCTGTCCTAAGGACGTCCTAAGGAAAGCCTTACAGGATATTGGGATATCCCAAGGATATCCTAGGACGTCCTCAGACCTCCTCAGGACATCCCAACCATGGCCGAGTGGTGCAAAAAAGGCCAGCCTACAGACGTCCCGCAAATGGCCTTTAGGATATCCTAGGGATATCCTTAGGTCCATATAGGTCCAGGAATAGGACATCCTAAGGATGTCCCCTGAAAGTCCCATGGGTATATGGAGGTCCAGGAATGGGATGTCCTGAGGACATCCTCTGAATGGCCTTGTTATTTGTTGGGGTACATTTTATCAATCAAATACCATTTTATTACTTTATAAAATATATTATTTTAATTCTGTATACATATATATAATTTTACAGAGCCAATTATTTAAAATAAAAAATAAACACCTATTATAAAAGTAAAATAAATAATAATTCTAAATAAATATAATAGTTATTTTATTAATGTATCACAGTGTCCAAAGTTATCTGCTCACCATTTTAACTCCATTATTATTGCAGCTACAAAGTCGGTTAAATTTGCAAATTAGTGGCATTTTTTCTTCTGAAAATTTTGAAACACATTAAATACGATTTTTTTATTTTTTAACAAGTATGCTTATTATAACTCACCAGAATTTTATGATTGTTGTTCACTTCAATCTTCAAGTAAATTAGTATTTAAGGTTTATTTCGAAGAGAACACTATAATAATATTATATTATAACAAACACACTTGGAGAACACGAGATTCACGGCCTTAAACCAGGTTCACGACACAGAAAAAGAATTCACGGCACAGACCATGGAGCCTACACAAGGAGTCCGAACTGCATGTAAACAAGAATCTTCCTAAGTTAAGTAGGCGCTGGTGTCCCGTTTATTCTGAAACAATTGACTATTTTGTACCGAAACGCTACCAAAAGAGCAGACGTCAGGACGCATCAACAATCAGCGCCGCTGGTGGTGAAAAAAAAAGACTTAATTTGTGCAATTTAGAGGGCAGGTTTTATCAATTTTCCCTATTAAGTTCGGGCTCCTTGTATAGGCTCCATGGCACAGACAAAGAATTCCTTTCACAGTGTTATCTATGATTCTTTCTAAAAAAAAGGCGCCAAACAACTAAAGGACGCTATTCTTCTTCTTCTTCTATACTTTTTATTCTCTCTTTCGAGAGAATTGGACTTGAGCCGATTAGGCTCTTACTGCCCAGTTACTAGTTTTAACGTCCAATGATTTCCGAAGAACCAAAAACCATTGGAAAACGATTGATTAACGAACACGTGGACACAAATAGGTTAAGTAACCTTGAAATTTCAATGTTTATATAAATTCCTCTATTCCTTTAAAAAAGGACAAAACGAGGAATATTATCTAGGACTGGAATCCGATTTTGTCCTCCCTGAGTCAAAGTCAACTATATTTCACACTTTTCATGGAGCAATGCACGAGCGATGCGCTTCTCACCGAGGATAAAATCGAACTCCTAAAGGACCCTATACGTCATCTTAGCTTTCTATCCATCCAGTGTTACCACCATAGACAAGGGTTACCACCATAACGTAAGGCGGCAAATTTAAAACAATCGGTAACACAAACTATTAAATAAGTTATAGATTGCGTTTGTAATAACATTTTTAAGGTTAACTGAGGCTTACTACCTTATTTATTATTTATAAAACCTAAATGTATCAATACCTTACAAACAAGAAGTTTGAACAATTATCAACCGTCATTTCTGCGCATGCGTAATAAGTTGGCTGCTATCCAGTTGTATACAAAATATATTTTGTGGTCATATAACAAATACACAAAATATAATATTGTTTTTAAACTCCCGCCTTTAAAACGCCGATTATCGTACATGTTTCCATGATATTTTAAATACACATTGACAAGTTGCGGCTTTATGGCGTTTTAGTCACGGGCTGAAGTTGGCAGCAATGGCATTCGGACTTTTTAGTCATGGGTTGAAGTTAATTGCAGTTGTCAACTGCGAAACAATGACCATCAAAATAAAGGGTCTAAAAAGTGAGGTTAGAATAGACTGGTCGATGTCAGATTTTATAAATAATTATTTATATATAATTGTTGAAGGTTATTTAATTTTTGTGATTGTCGTAAGTAATATCATAAGGGCATCTAATTTTTCCGATAAAAATCGAAAAAACACGTTGCTAAGTAATATTTTAACAATTGTTGCGTTTTAAAACGCATGAGTGCTGGTGGCAACAAAAATACGAGTCGAAGACGAGGATTTTTGCACCTGCACGAATGCATTTTGTTAAAAAAATATTACTTAGCATTGTGTTTTTTCGATTTTTTTCACAGGAAAAATTAGATGCCCGAATGGTATTTGACAAGACTATTTCATGAGTAACAGTTAACAATTAAAATAAAAATGGCAATTTTTGGTGACAACAGCTGTCAAGTTTTGCCGCGGGTAAACTCGAAAAAACTGCTGACAGGTGCTGTCACACAGTTTTTTCACCTAGAAACCATTTGTAATTCAAAATTGCGCGTTTGTTATTGGTGGAAATTAAGACGAGGGAAATAGTCGTAGAAAAAATATAGTATGCAAGTCGTTTATAAACTTTAAAAAAATCTATATAATATAATATTATAATTATATTGATTGACATTTTTAAGATGTGCCTATGCAAAATAAGTTATGTAAAAAAATGTAGGTATTATTAATTATATGGGTAAAATATTCTTATAGAAAAATGTGCATACCAAATGTTTACCAAAACCTAACGGGACATTCTGAGGATGTCTCTGGGATTAGTCCTATGATCAGCCCATTTTAGGCTTTAATTAGGATATTATTAGGTCCTAACGACATCCTTAAATGACGTTCCTAGGATATCCCAAAATGGGGCCTAAAAAAGATCTAATGTCCGATAAGGTCAACCTATGGACGTCCTCAGGAAGTCCTTATAGGATCATCCCATTCTGGGACATTTAGGCTGGTCCAAGGACGTCCTGAGGATGTTTGTGCTTGCTGGGTATGAAGAATTTTTTAAATTCACATGTTTTTTTTTTCATTTTTATTTTTTTTTCAATTTTCTGGATTATTTAATTCTTTAACTCGATTTTAACACTGTAATATGATTTAAAATTTAAATTTTAAATTTAATTATTTTATTCATTTCGTATGCATTCTGACATCTCTCGGTAAAATGGTATAATACTCGAATTGCATCACTGGTGCTACACTGGGGAAGCCCCGAATTTTAATACATATAATTGGTATATTTATTTTATTTATAATTTATAAATCATAACTATAAAATATAATATACCTACTATATTATAAATTATAATATGCACATGTCCATTGTGTATTAGAGATTTATTTAAAAATGAGTTTAAGTGAAGTAGATTCTCAAGGGTAAATATTACAATTTTGAATATGTATGCATATTTATTAATTAAATGAGTGCCTTTGTCACAGCAAATAATAATTAAGTATTTTGTATCTTATTTTAAGATTTTCCAAAATCCTCAAACAGGGTGGCTCTGTGAAGTGCCAAGTGAAGAGACAAAATTTGAATGTCGATGGTGTAATGCAATACTTTATAAGGGTGTTTTCAATAATGAATGATGTGAAAACAAAAAAAACGAAACAACTTCATGAAAATACATTGAATTCATAGATTATTTTCCTTTGCGTATTGCGTTTTTAAAGATACAGGTACAAATTCTGCAAAAATGTCACAAAAAACATTTAGATTTAATGAAATTAAATAATTTATTTAATTCCTAAATCATGTTGTATAGTTTTTTGTTCTGCCTATGAAATTAATTCATTTTCATTAATTTGTAATACTTTATCTCCTGTTTACCATAAAAGATATTTGACTTTTAAAAATATTTTTTTTATTATTATTAAGTACCTAATCCAGTCAGAAGGTTTTTTATCTAATGACGTTTTACATCTCTGCAGAAATATGAAGAATTTTTAAGGTTAAATTGAAGAAAATTGGTATAAAGAATCTTTTAAATTTTAGCTCGAACGAGTTTAGACCTTATGAGTTTAGACCTCACGTGTTGCTCCCATATAAATACCATTATAAATTATATATAATTGTACGACTGGCAACACTGGTCAAGAATCTGGGATTCTATTTTTTTAAATTTAATTGCATAAGTTGTACTTAAACATTAGGTACCTTGCATCACCAACTTGTCACAGTTATTTAATATTCTTATCGGTGCGTTTAAATTCTTGAAACTAGATTAATATATATACATTTGGCAACACTGGCTGTCAAAAATGTCATTTTTAGTAGTATTTACTTGTCATGAGGTAGTAAAAGTGTTTTCTTCGATACAATTAGAACATTCCATATTTAACCAACAATTTAATCTAATTTATTTAATAATTTCGATATTTAGTTGTGTTTCATTAATCCACTTGAAATGGGCGACGCTTCAAATACTAATACAACTGAAGGAACTGCTCCTAGGGGATTAAAATTTGATGCTCTTTTAGTCCATATTACTAATCACAAAATAGATTGTGCTTTATGGGCAATAAGAGTTTTATCCATTATATTTGGTCTAGGATACTTTATTCCATTATTTGGGTAAGTTTTTTTTAAACCGTTTGTTAGCATTACATTATATTTTAATTAACCAGTGCAAAGTTTAACGTTATTAAATAATTATTAAACCTTCATGGGTTTATTCAATAAACTTTATTGATTAATATCACTATTAATATTGAGAATTACGTTGATCAATAATTGCGTATGTTAATTGGTTATTAATTTTGTTTAAAGAAAATTTTAACCACTTTCTCTTCTCTTTTTACTCTTTGTAAACAGGTAAAAGAGAAATCATGTTTTACCTACATTGTATGAAAGCAAAACGTTTGAAATGTAATCTAAATCACCAAAAATATTAGGCAAGTAGAAAAAGTTTATATGTACCTATAGACTTTTGTTGTAAAAAATATATTATTAATTGCAATTACAATTATTAAAAATAATAATGGTAATACCTAAATAGTAGCCAAAAGCTCAATAGGAATGCCAGATTTAAATTTTGCCATATTCCTATTTTTTGCAAAGTGCGGTATTCTCTAGAATTCTAGAACAATGTGTAACACATTATGTGTTACTATTCTTAAGACTCATTATAAATATGAAGAATGCTATGCGGAAATGTTAAAAAAATTACGTTCAATTTTCGGCCGTGCTAATCCAACGAATGAGATGACAGTGCGTAGGTTGGTAATTAAATTTGAAAAAGTGGTTCGGTTGGGGACCTAAAAATACCTATGCATTGTCATACTGTCTACTGAAAATATTACAGCAGTACGGAAAAGTGTTTCCAAAAATCCTGGAACCTTAATTTGTCATCGTTCCCAACAAGTTGCTATTTTGAGGAGCAGTTTACAGCAAATTTTAACAAAAGATCTTCATTTGCATCCATACCAGTAACACTTCATCAACTCAAAGACGCGTTATTGGCGAAATTCAGAAGCAAATATGGGAGGATGTTATAAAAAAACTTCATTAAAAGAGGGAGATTTTTTCTATTTTTTGTTCAATTGTTTGGTCCTTTCATGTATTTCTCAAGCATATATTCAGAACAATAATTAACATGTCATGTAAGGTATTACAGTCTGCAATTTTTCTTGCATGTAAGTTTTATTGCTGACTTTGCAATTCCAATTCCAACTTGCATGATACCATCCAAAGAAAAAATATAAAATTTTATAAAATATTATAAAGAGGGTACCTACTTACAATTAAAATTAAACAGCTCCTTCCATACGACATTATAATATATATTATGTAATAGTATTTATAATACAAAAAAACAACACACGAATGTCTTAAAAAAAAGCGTCTCTAATGACTTGCATACAACTGGCAATAAAAATCGAGCACGACTGATATTTTGAAACGGCGATAGATTTACACAAAACCCTTAAGTCTGTATTACAGTCTGCAATTTTACTTGCAGCAATCTTTCTTGCAGCATTTTTTCTTGCATGCAAGTTTTATTGCTGACTACAATTACAATTCTAACTTGATACCAACCAAAGAAAAATATAAAAAATGTATAAAATATTTTAAAGTACAATTAAAATTATTATGTAATCGAATAGACTTGCACGAAACGTCGCTATGCGCCTTCGTGCAAGAATATTGCGTATTGCATGTAGAACTGCAGACTGTAATACAGGCTTAATATTCTGTGCACTAAACGTCGCTATACGCATGCCTTCGTGCAAGGGGGTATTGCATATTGCACGTAGAATTTCAGACTAATACAAAAATTAATTATTGGTCGGTCTAAATAAATGTATTTAATAAAATAGCGGAAGAGTACGCCTTATAGGAACAAGCAAAAACTTATTAAATTATTGTTATAACACGTGTTATGTACATAATATTAAAGTATTTTGTTTGACTTTTCTGTTTGGTTATTGGAAAAAACGAAGTATAGTACCTATATTCTGTACCAAGTTTGTAATACGGCATATTCCGCTCGAGTAAAAAGTTTGTCACACGAGCCGAAGGCGAGTTTGACGGTTTCACGAGAACGGAATATGCAATTCCAAATGTGTTTCAGACTATACTTTTTATACGTTTACAAAATATATTATAGAAAAATAATTTAGGTACTTGGGAGAAAGTGAGGTTGTATCAGTCTAAAAGTTGTTAGAGAATAAACATAGAGATGGCGCACCAGTGTTTATTCCATCATCCGATGATAAAATAATTAATTCTGTAACAGTTTAAGAAATATACAGTGACCGGCAAAAGTATGGAACAAATTTATTAAAAAATCGGCTCTTTTTTTCTCAAAAAAATCCTTGAACAAGTCGATTTTGTTTTTTAATTACGCACATTTTGATGTACAATTTTCATATTTTCCGTCATTTTTGTAGAATCTCTGGAGCGCGTTTAAAAACTCGCAAGAGTGCACTCTGGATACACTCCAAGTTTACCTTCCGCGTTCGATTTATCTAGTATATACCTAGGGTAGAACTGTCAACTGTTCGAAAACAACATGTATATGCCCAGAGTGCTTTAGACTTGGTTGAGTTTTACCCGTCATGCCCATAGGGTACAACTATGTTTTTCAAGTTCATTAAAAAAAACAAAAAACATTAAAATAAAAGAATTTATTTAAAATAAATTATTTAAAAAATATTAACTCTAAAAAACAAAACAAAAAATATATCACAGAAACTTAAATAACTCATATTACTAAAGGGTTAAAATGAATTAATTTAATATTATATAATATGTATTCAGTAAAATAACAAGCTAAACAAATTGGTTTTAGAATACTACAACATAAAGTTTATATGTATATGCTCCGCGTTCGGAAATAACAAGAAAGTCAGGTATAATGTAAAGTCACCTATACCATATCCAAAGTACTCTCATTTCTCATCGAAAAAAAAACTTTCTCAAAATAGTTAATTTCAAGGTCAAACTTTTTCAATTTATTGTTTTTTGCTATTCTACAATAGAAGACTTGAAAAATCAAAATCGACGTGTCAAAGAAGTTTGTTTGGGAAAAAAGGCACATTTTTTAATGAATTTGCTCCATAGGTACTTTTGCCGGTCACTGTATGTAATTCCACATTAAAAAGTGATTCATTAATAATAATAATATTAATAATATTTATTTGTGTTATAAATACAAGGATTTTTACACACGTCAGGTACAGTTACGGAAAGAAGTAATGTCCATTTGAATGCTCCATTGTAATTGTTCGGAGGCGTTCGGAAATAGTCAACATCTGCCTCTTAAAATTTATTTAAAAATATGTCTATATTTAGAATTTACTACCTGCTCGTATTGAATTAATTATTTTGGGTATATTACATAATATGTAATATATTACATAATATGTAATATACCCAAAAAATTAACGATTTAATAAAAATACATTTAAATATGTAATACATATTTAAATGTATTTTTATTAAATCGTTAATTTTTTGATATTTTTTTGTATAGTTTTATAAACATTAAATCTATGCAAAAACTTTTAACAACAACTTTTTAGGCTATAAATAATATTATCAAGTTGTAGTTTTTTAAAACTTACTTTACATTTTTCAGAACTAGCAATGATTCAATGCACTATTTTACATCAAAGGAGTAAAAAACACATTTTATTATTTGTTGCACTTTTATGTGTTAAAATTAAAAACATATAGGTATTTAAAATTTTTATATTTGGTATATTTTTAAATTAAATATACTAGGATTTATCAAAAAATGTTTAATATAATTTTAATGTAAAAGTTAACATACCCATAAAACTAGAACATACCTACATATAAATATATATAAATAGGTATAAAACTATAAAATATATATTATATATTTCTTCATATTTATTTATTGCTCTTTTATTATGTGTAGATTAATGTGTATTTTTATTTATGTTTATTTTTATTAAAATATTATTTAATTAAGACTTATACAAAAAAATAGAATATTTATTTTTAAAGTACCTCAAAAATATTGTTCAGAATCTCAAAAAAATGGTCCTGTTAAAATGTAAGCTCTTAATATTACATTTGTAGGTCCCTCATCGGGAATGTTTATTTCCCATTAAAATAATATGAGATTTTTTAAAATACTTTAAAATTGTATAACTCGTTAACGGATTAGTGGACCAATAAAACTAAAACAAATTTTGGTAGGGTTTTTTAAAAACCCATACAGCACCTAAAGCGAAAAGTCGTCTAAAAGATTACTTATTTAAGTCATCTTTTAGTCATGACGAAAAGATGTCGAAAATTCGTCTAAAAGATGACTTATTTAAGTAATATGATATAAATGACATCTTTAAGACGTCTTTAAGACGTGTTATATAATAACATACTTTCATTACTATACCACGATTGTTGGTTGTGTCATGCAAGCATACAGTATGAGAAGTATTCTTTTTCTATGGTACCTATGCGACTCACACTAATAATGTTAATATAAGTATGTTTATATTTTATAGTCTAAGGCATATAATCACATATATCTCAGACAAGGAAAGAGAGGGACGTAATAGTCGCGACGAGTAGCTGTTCAATTTGGCACCATTTGCAAGCTCATTAATTATATATTTATATATACTTTTTTAAAGCACGGTGACTAATGCTTTGTTTGCCACCATTAAAATGGCGGATCGGGAACATTTTCAAGCGAAGGTGTATATAATCAACATTAGCGCCATCTCTATTAATATTGTCTAAACCATACGGTATGGCGGGAATACTTGTTATAGGCCGGTAGCAACATAAGCAGCTGGCTGTTACGACGTTGCCGCCATATACCCATAGTTTTTGGAAGGAGCTCGTTTTGGGGAAATAAATATATTTTTAATAAAATCGTTTAAATAGTATTAAAAAAAATATTTTATAATAAATAAAATTATCATTTAAGCATTTTTCCATAAACGTTCAAGATTTTTTCGAATATAATTTATAAAAATTATTTTATTAGAATACAGACGCCTATAATCTGTGCACAAGCTGGCAACGCAGGTTTCCCATTGCACCGCCCAAAGAACGCCGGGTGACAAAATTATGCTTCTAGCAAAGGTGTTCTT